TATGACTCTCTGTAGCATTTGGTATTCCTATACAACTTTATAATTTGTAATTTATTATGATTTGTATATTTCTTTTCTCTCTCCTACTAATATCTACATAGTATGGAGTAGGGACAATTTTTTTTATCACCCATATGATTTAGCAAGGTATGCAAATGTTTATTAAATGAATGTAAGCTCATTATATAACTTGATTTGTTCCTTTCTAACTAATTCAGACAGAGTTCCATCAATTTATATAACAAGTCACATCACCATCATAAAATAACTCACTCATTATATAAATGATCTCTATATATTTTTTCACCAGTTTATAATAGGAAGAACACAAAATAATATCAGAAGACTTGATTTCAAGCCTTTGCTCAGTCTAACTAAATGACCTTACAAAAATTTTAGAACTTGACTGGGTTCTGGTTCACTCATCTTTAAAACAGGATTATAACATATGTATATATATATATATGTTATATGTGTGTGTGTGTGTGTGTGTGTATAAAAAAATAAAATATACCTCTTCATAATAGTAATTAGAGGACTAAATAAGAAAATGTATTTAAAGTGCTAGCCTAGCATATAATTTAATATAAATTACTCTAACAGATTAATTTTTGTTCATACGTTCCTCTGTATAAGATACATACAGATTGAAAGAATTGTTGTACTAGGTCAGTAGCTTCATAATGGTGTTCCATGGAGCCTGCTACAGAGCCAAAGGGTAGGTGTCTAAGCTGCCAGCCTCCATGTCAATAAAAGCAAGGTTTTTTTCTTTTCTACTTTATTGAGATATAATTGACAAATAAAATTGTAAGGTATTTAAAGTGTACATCATGGTGATTTGATATACGTATACGTTGTGAAAGGATTCGTACTATCTAGTTAATTAATACATCCATCACCTCCCATGTTTATCTTTTTGTTGTTAACATTTAANAAAACCACCTAAATGTCTAATAGTAGGGAAATAGTTACATTCTGGTCTACTTATGAAGTGAGATGGATAAATTTATGTGTGCTCATATAAAATGGTCTCCAGGGCACATGACTAAGTGAAAAAGCAAGGTTCTGAACTGTGTGTGTTGCCATTTAATAACAAAAGGAATGGAGTAAGAGAATATACAGACACACACATATCTGCTTGAGTGCACAGATTACTTCTGAAGGGATATGGAAGAAACTGGTAGTAGTTTCCTCTGGAGTGACCAGGGAAGTTTCCTGTTGGAATTACTTTGTCACATGCGTTTATTATATTTTTTAATAAAAGGATTCTTAAAATGAAGTAATTCTCTCCCTTTACTACGTCTGAGACCATCCTCAATTCATTTATAATTTTTGTTAGACAAGAAACCTTCTGCAAGCCTTTTTTAAGTAAATAAATAAGTTTAAATTTCTGGTTTTATAATCAAGAAAACAAATCTCTGAAGAGAATAAGAATTGTTTTGGATTATTTGCTTTCCCTTTATAAATTTTAATAATCTACAGAGATTAAGAAACTTGGAAATAAAGTCAGATTTTTTCATAAAATTCAGAGTGTTATGTCCATGTGCCCTCGTGTCCAGTCACCTAATTTTGAGTGTGACTAAAGGGAAAGAAAGTAACCTAATAATAAAAAGTTTATCTATTCTATCTAGGCTCATGGATTTGAGATTCTATGCTCCAAATGTAGCCCACATTTTTCTGACTCCAAAAAATCCTCTCTGACTACCTCACCACTCTGGGCTGGCTTCCTTGAAAGTCTGAACAAGAATGATTACTTTAAGGTAGGACTTGCAATGCATTTTAAAAATTGTATTATCCAGGGATAATCAAGCCAATGATTTAAAATCCTATGGTCCATTTTTAATATGTAACATAATTATAGGAGCTAGAATTTAAAGGAACCGTTCTAGTTGAGTGGTAATGAGGGGGTGTCTATGAACTGCTTCCAGTATTAGAAAGACTAATAACATTTCTATAAAATGATAAAAGTTATTATTTGTATCAGATGAACAACTTTCACAAATCTATAAAGCAAACATGAAGACGCCAAATAGCAAAATTAGCAAAGACAGGGATTTAAAATACTACAGAAAGATAACTAGTAAATTTCTCTTAGAATATTCACTGTCACAAGTAGTAAAGATATGCATATGCACACAATAATCAAGACTGTTTCTCACATATGTGAAAAAGGATGTGAATGATATTCAGTGCTGTTGAGAGTATGGTGAAATTAATACTCCTATACATTGCTCATAACATTGTAAATTGGTAGAACCTTAATTGTAAATTAATTTAGTAGTGTGTCCCAAGAGCTTATAGAACGATTCAAACTCGGAACCTTCACTTTCAATAATCTATTTTAAGGAATAATCCAAGAAGTAGAAAAGTCCATAAGAATATGAGGAATATAAAGACTATATGTGTAGCTGTATGAAAAAGTACTTTATATACATATAGTATATTTTTTAAAGAGTGTAAAATACTAAGTATGAATGCCACTATAAATATGCATGTGAAAACCAGAAATGATAGTTAAGGTGGGATTATGCTATTTTTTGGCTCTATTTGTACTTTGTTTTATAAATTAGTACTGGTTAATCAATTATTTCTTAACTAATTAAATAAAGAAAATGGGAGAAAAATCTTCCTAGTTGGAAAGAGGCCCTTAATGGTGAAAAGGATTAGGAATCATTACATGTAACTTAGTCCTCTTATTTGAAGAAACTGGGGTCCAAACAGGTACATTACTGACAAAAGTGGTGCCAAGATTCAGGCCTCATGATTCCTTAACAATATATTATAAACCATACATCACCTCCCTGAAAGTTGCTGGTAATCACGTTATTTTAATGACACCATGTAAATAATCTGATTGGCCATTATTTATTTTTTAGGGACTCATAGAAGGCTCTGCACAGTACCAGGAAAGAGTAGAAATGGCAAAGAACTACTTCCAACTCTCAGTAAACCGGCCGGAAAGGTGAGTTTATCATTACTTAATAATGGCAGCGAAGTGGTAACTGGCCAGAAGTTAAGGAGTTACTTACTCTTAAGGATAGTCGCAGAAATTGGAGTTTACATATTTAAACAGTTAATGGCAAGGATCACGACTTTTGACGGGGCTGGGGTTGGGGGAGAGGAGGTGTTGTGACAGAAGATCTTTGGCACTGGCATCTGTCGTCATCACCAGCAGCAGCAGCAGCAGCAGCACCAGCACCACCACCACCACCACCACATAATGGCTAACATTTAGTGAGTACTTAGAAAGCAGAGGCCACTTTAAACTCATTTAGTCCCCTGTGAAATAAATACGATTGTTATTGTTCCCTATTTACAGCTGAGGAGCTGAGGCCCAGAGAGATTAAGTAATTTGCCAAAGGTCACACGGCTAATAAACGACAGGCCTAGGATTCAAACTCAGACCGTTCTGGTATTGGGCCATGTGCTCAATTCCTATGAATTCTAGGTTGTGTTTAGCTATTTTAAGTGGATCTAAAACACAGGACAAAGCAGACATTTAGCTTCCAAATCAAATCTCGTTCTAACCTGCCACACATTTCCAGGAGAGAGCAAGAAATGAACACAGGGTGGGAAGAAAATGGCACCCCTTTAAAATTTAATAAAGTTGAATTTTATTGCTGGTAGTGGTGGAGTAACATATTGGATTAACCCCTTGCCAATTACAGTTATAAACCCTGGACAGAATATAAGAATCAATTATTTGAAGTCAACCAAAATCAGGCAAAAATTGGAGGGAATAGTACTCTTGAAAGAAGAAAATCACATTTGGTGAGGTCCACGTTATCTTTGCCCACTGAGGACACTTCCTCGTCAGTGTGGCACAAGGAAAACAGCTCAAGCAGGAAGTCTATTGGGTGGAGGAATCAAAGGTCAGAATTTGAGTAGTAGAAAAATTATAATTTATGTTTGCAAAATTGAATTTGAGATACTTAAAGATAGCATGAAAGAAATAGCTTTGTGTATGTTATGGTTAAAAGTCCTGGATTGTGTGTTTTGGGCTTTTTTTTAGTCAAACTGATCTGGTTTTGAACCTTAGTCGTATTATCAACACTTTAAGTTCCATGGTTTGTGTAATAGAATGTTCTTTAAAGACTGTGTGAAGCCAAGTTGATGCTCGGAGAACGCTAATCTCACTTGTCTGAGAGATGGTAATGACTTTACAGCAAGTCCTTGCTCTTTCATAAGTACCTAGGGGCACTTTTGCCCCACTCCCATCAGTCTTATGGCAGCAATGGATGGAAAAGAGGACATCTTCTTAAGGTATCATTTAAGAGAACTTGGGAAATGGAGTCAGGAGAATAAAGGAGGTAGCCCTCATATTAGGGGACTCTCCCTGCATGATTCCTCTCTGCCTCTAGGAAGCCATTCCTGCTGAGGACTGTTACCTTGGATTGAAGAGAAGTTAAGAAGTTTGACTCAAATGTAGGAGAGTTAGGTCTTCTCCTACAAAATAAGACAGATTGGTGGTTAGGTAGTTCTTTTTAAATAATAAAGTTTGTTGTAAAAGTAACAGATTCACTCATTATAGCAAATACAGAAAGATGTAAGAAGGACAAAATGTATGATGATAGTAGTTCCAGTGAGAAGAGACCTGAATGAAGTGAGGGAATGAGGCATACAGGTATTTGTGGGAATAGCATTCCAGGTAAAGAGAACTAACAGCAAATACGATGTAGGAACACACACACACACACACACACACACACACACACACACACAGAATGGTATTTATGAGAGCAATCACCTCTGGGCAGTAGGAAAATGGATTGGAACTGCTACTACTGGTCATCACAGGAAACAGTTTTATAATATGTTTTTAAAAGTACATGCACATGTTACTAGTTTAATTTTTTTATGTTAAATGTATAAATGTAATCATATATTTTGACAAAAAGTATATATGACGATACTATTATTCTGGGTGGTAGGGATATGGTTGTTGTCTTATCTTTAGAACTTGTCTATATTGTTTAAATCTCTTACAAATAGCAAAGAAGCCATCAGTGGTGACCCACTGCTTATTTCATCGAGCCCAAACTTCCAAGCCATTTCAGGCTTGCGGTGCTTTCACCCCAGTGCATCTGTTCAGCCTCGTCTTCCATGTTAAGCCAAACTGAGCGCCATTTGCGCTCTGAACATGTTTCTAACTTCCCTGCCTCTATGCAACTGCTCATTTCCACCTGCCTGAAGTTTCTCTACCCTGTCTTACCTGTCA